GTACGATGCCCAGTTAGGCCAGTGTGAAGCCAGGAGCTTCCAGGTCTCCCAAGTGGGTGCAGGGAACCAAGGCTTGGGCCGTCCTGCTGCTTCCCTGGGCACTCCAGCGGAGAGCTGAACTAAAGCAGCCCGGATTCAAGCTGGCACAGGTATAGGATGCCAGCAGCACAGGCAGAGGCTTAACTGACCTTGCTGGCAAGTTGGAAAAGGCTACGGCACCCAGTATTGCCAGGCACTCTCCCATTCAAGTGCTAACAAAGTCTGATCCTGGTTGGCATCTGAGATCGGGCACTTCCAGGGTGGGTATGGCTGACCGCTAGATGGCATTCATGAAGTATGCTGTTTAAGTTACTTGTGAGTTCCACTAAAAGGCACAGTTAAAATTTTACTAGGGCTTTTTCTGTGTTTACCTTTCGCTTACAATTGTTGAACGAGACCCTGGCATTTCTCCTTTATTAAATAGTACAGTATTGCTGTACTCCAGACATTCCGTGCGTCCGCGTATGCTAGTCCTTGAAATACGGTAAGAATCGGGGATTGGCGGCAGTGACTCTGACGTGAAAGGGAGTGTTGCCTTATTTTACATGTCGTTGGTCTGGTGGGTGAGCAGGTTGCAGGCCCATGCAGGGCTCTGGTGGATGAGAGGAAGACTCGCCCTGCCTTCTGCCATGGTGGGTTGAAGGTGGGACAGGGGTGCCATACCCCTCCTTGCTGCCTGGCCACACTGGGGACAGACGGTCCCCTGCTTTCCTCCCAGGGTCCCTGATAGGAGGCGGGATGTCCTGAGGGTGTTTCTGGAGTAGCTTGGACTATTCCGAGCTGGTGTTGGCTTTGTGGGATGCCGGTCCGTGCAGTGGATGTGGGGGACAGGAAGGGGTGAAGTGTATTGTTCCATTGCAGGCAGGGCCGCAAGGAACTTCCCGCTGTTTGGCAGGGCCCGCCCAGCAGACTTCTCTACAACACCTGAATGCAGCTCCACCTTCTTTTGCATGGACACTGGACCACCCTACAGAAGAACTCTAATCCATCCAGGCATTGTTTGCTGCTGTGAGGCTGGCCTTTTACTCAGTGTGAGCTTGGAGGTTAATGTCAATAATAATGTCTTGTAAAGGGCCTTCTGTTATTCCCACTGTCCTGGCTGTCCCCATTGACCTTATGCTAATCAAGGGCCCTGTATTTAGGCTTTCATTCTTTCCTCATTCTTTAGGTTCCACTTTTCTTTGTGATACAAGATTAAGTTGTAGAATAAGAATTGTAGTAGGAATTTCTATTGTTTCTAGGTAAAACAAATGGCAGAATTATCCTTAGAAACACCCACTTGACCATGAGGTGAAGTGTCTGAGCCAGAGTTTGACTTTCTGTATAAATAAAGCGGACAGCTTTCGTGCATTGTCCATTACGATCATAAAATGCTAGTGGGCCATTTCTTTCCTTTCTCGCCTCCACGCCCCCTTCTCGAGTTCCGGAGCTGGACTCTGGCAGTGTGGTATTTACCTGTGCAGTGAAACGACACTTCTAAGTACCAAATTGTGACTGCTACACGGCTCTTCCACTGTATAGTCTACAAGCAAGGTCAGCTTGTCAGCCCCTCTCCACCTGCCTGTCCTGTTTTGTCCCCAGTGTCGGCATCTCGTGCCTTTTCATGGCTGAGGGATGTTCTATTGTGTCTGCCACATTTTCCATAATTACGTTTGGATGGACCTGTGGGTTAGCTGCATGTCTTTACTGTGACTTGAGCTGCGTGGAACACTGGAGTGGAGCTGGTTCTTTGTCTCGTGGGGAAGCTGGTTCATGTGGGAACAGACTCTTGTTAGCATTTTACATTTTCTGAGAACTCGTGTTTTCTATAATGGTTGCGCCAATTAGCATTTAACAATGTTGCATTAGAGTGCCTTTTTCTTCACAACCTCACCAGCGTTTAAACATTTTTAGTAGCCGTTCTTTTAAAATTTTGTTGGAAAGGCAGACTGACCGAGGAGCACAGATGTGGTTCACTCCCCACGTGGCCACTGCTGAGCTGATCTGAAGCCAGGAGCTTATTCAGCTCTCCCATGTGGGTGCAGGGTACCAAGGCTTTGGGCCGTCCTTGACTGCTTTTCCAGGCCACAGGCAGGGAGCTGGATGGGAAGCAGAGCAGCCAGAATACAAACCAGCGGCCATAGGGGATACTGACACTTGCAGGTGGAGGATTAGCCAGTTGAGGCATCATGCCAGCTGCATTTTTAATAACCATTCTTTTTAAAGAACATGTTATAACTGTTTTTTGAATGGTGTCCAGCCTAACTGGGGTGAGGTGATGCCACACTGCAGTTTCCTGTGCAGTTCCCTGGTTGGTGATGCTGGGCGACCTTGCAGGGGTCTGGTGACCATTTGTAGTTCGCCCTTCAAACTGTTGGCATCCATGGCCCATCTCTTGCTGGGTCGTTTCTGTTGTGACTAAGTTCCTTGATCTCTTTGGTCCTAATTCAGGATTGACTGCGTGATTGGCATACGTTTCCTCCATCCTGACCGTGGATCCTTTCACAAAGTTATCAGTGAGCAGGGCAGTTTGCACCTGCTGGCTTGCTCCCCAGCTGTGCTGGTTCACTGCCCAGGTATGTACAGTGGCTCTTGTGGGACTGGAGGGGGGAAGGAGGAAATCGGCCAGGTCCCCCTTGGGTGATGGCGCCCCCATCTCTTCAGCCATCACTGCTGTCTCCCTGAATGTGGGATGGTGGCCCATGGCCTACGCCAAGACCATGATTCCAGCTTTGGAACGCTGGATCCTGTTTGCCATGTTCTCAACATAGGATCAAGTGTATCCGGGAGTGTGTGACTGGGGTATAGTATGGTCTGATACAGTCTCTGTATGCAGAGCCTGGGCATGCACACTTCATGCTGATGTCCTGAGAGTGTGCAAACACAAAATGATGTATCATTTTGAACTTACTGAGGTCAGATATTCAACCTTTAAGATTTGTGCCTTAGTCAGTTTGAAGTGTGCCCTTGAGTGGTGTAAAACTTGACACGTGCAAGCACCACCGCCACCTCCCAGTACTGGGACACCGCAGTATGGTTACAGTCCGCATCCTGCTCGAGTGGCAGGCCTCAACGTCGCCCCCTCTGCCCCTCCCTGTCCACCCCAGTTCTGCTTCCTGTATTTGAGTGCCTTCTGCACATGTGAAGTTGGCAATACTGGCTTTTTAAATTTGAGAGGCAGAAAGGGTGTTTTGGCTCGTCTGGTACGCACACACAGCCAGATGACATGGGCTCGTCCTGTTGTCTAACCCTCGATACTGTGTTGCAGCCTGTAAGAAGGCTTTGTTCTTGAGTGAATGCAGGCAGACCTTGGCTCTGGGAGCCTTGGCTCATGAACACGTGGGTTGCTGCTACGTTGCAACTGTTCAGTGCTCCTAACAGTGTGAGGGTCCACACACCCCCCTGGAAACCTGTTTGGTTTAAATACCAAGAAAAGGGGTTGCCGAATCCTTGGCTGGCTGGCCGAGGAGCGTCTGCGTTCTTGGGTGCGGTGGCTGTGCCATTTTCAGGGGGTCAATTTCTGCTCGTGCTCACGACCACTTGTTACCTTGTGTTGGATAACTTCCATCCTGATGAGTGTGAAGCTGTCTTGCTGGGGTTTCGGCCTGCATCTCCCAATGAGTGCTGTACGTGTTTCATGGGCGTACCGGACACTTGCATTACCGCTGGAGAAAGAACAGCTCGAGTTTTTGACCCATTTTGAGACAGGTTTTTGTAGTGTTACAAATTCTCTTTAATCTGGGTATGTCAGGTGTAGGATTTGCAAATATCTCCTCCCACTTCATGGGTCACTTTTTCGTCCCAGTATGGTCGTTTGCACAAAATTGAATTGTTTGCCCCCCCACCAAACCCAGTCTATCATTTTGTTCTGTTGACCATGCTGGTGACCTTGCATCGTACCTAAGGATTACACTAAGAAATCTAACAAAGTTTGGCCCCTGTGTTCTAGAATGTTCCCTAGGTTCAGCCGTCACGTTCAGATCTTTGATACACTGGAATTTTGCATCTAGACTTAAGGAAGGGCCCACTGTCGCTCGATCCTTCTGCTCGTGGCTGTAAATGGTAGCACTGCAGGCTTGTTGCATCTGCAAGGTCTAAGCTGTGACTGTTGCTGTGTGGAAGCTGGCGTGGGGGCACAGAGCTGGACTTGAACCGAATGCCTGCTGTCCATGCACTCGTGGATTCTGTGGGCGGACCTTCCAGTGATGATGCTGGGAGGGCTCAGTCGTTTGGACCCAGTGTTGGCCTTTTAGGGGGCTCTGAGTTGAGTCTGTTTCTGATGCGCTCTCTGTGTCCTGGGATTCTCCCATCCAAACATGGTAGGATTTTGGTTTACTCGACACGGTTCTTCGCCTGATACGTACTGACTACAACCAAACTTTTTGCCACTTGTTGCCATTTAGCACCTACTCTTCATATCCTGCCGCTCATTGAATTGTAAGGATTCTACGGAGTGTTTCTCATTGTATGGAAGTTAGAGAATGGTCTGGTTGCAGCTGTAAGTTGCAAGGTGACCTGATAAAACGCCCATAGCAGAAGAATCGTGTCCTAGGAGAATGTTTTGGGCAAGGGCCATGTGAGCTGTGGCTTCCTCGTCTGGTCTGTGGTTGCACCGGAGTTGCAATAACACAATGACTTATTGAACTACAATTCAAAGTTTAACCATAGTTTTTCCTGTTTGCCAACATTCCGTTACCTTACTTGAAACAGATTTCAATTTGCTGGTTCATTCCCCAAATGCTGGAAATAGAGCTGCATCTGGCTAAAGCTAGCGGCCTGGAATTCAAGCCAGGTCTTTGCGGGTGGAGGACCCCAGTGCTGGTAACTGGGGTTGTCGGCTCCAGGATGAAGCTGGGCAGGGATGTTCAACTGTGCTCCCTTTATTTCTGCAGTAACCAGGCCATCTTGTTTCTCCCCAGGTGTCACACCTTGATATTTTTGGGGGGCGAGACTGAAGTCCAAGCTCGCCATCCTGGGACAAGATGGACCAACCCTCCGCCTTCAGCTTGAGCCTGACGTGGTGCCTGGAGCAACTTCAAGCCGAGCAGTTAGGGCAGTTCAAGGAGCTCCTCACGCAGAAATCCGAGGAGTCTGGTCTTGCGCAGACCCCCTGGAATGAGACCAGTGGGGCCTCCCGGGGCGAGCTGGCCTTGCTGCTGGAGAAGTGCTACCCGAGCCATCAGGCGTGGGAGCTGACAATGAGCGTACTCGAGCAGCTCGGCCGGAGAGACGTCTGCATGGAGGTGGAGGAGGAGCTGAAGAGTGAGTGTGTGGGCCGGGGGTGCGGACGGGGGGGTTGTGGAGGGCGGGGGCGTAAGTTTGGGGGCCCGGGGGAAGGTGAAGCTGGTGGAGGACTTGGCTTGCTAGATGCTTCTACTCACGGAGGGCCACGCTTGGTGATGCGGTGGGCATTCCTGCCCTCCGCATGGTAACAAGGTCGCTCCCAGACACTCCAGCTGCACACAGCCACACACCAGGCGACTTGCCATGATGCTGGGAGTGCTTGTTGCACACCATGCACTCCCCGAGCATTGGTGTTTGTGTGGCTGGGGACTTGGGAATGACACTGCAGTGCAAACACTGACCCAGACCAATGCTTGAACGAGATGGGTTTCTCCATGTGGCGCAGTCATAGGTCTCCAGCCCTTTTTTTTTTTTTTTTACTGGAAAGTCGTACATGGAGAGGAGATACAGAAGATCTTCCATCCACTTATTCACTCCCCAAGTGGTCTCAACGGCTGGAGCTGTGCTGATCCGAAGCCAGAAGCCTCTTTCTGGGTCTCTCAGTCTCTGAGTGCAGGATCCCAAAGCTTTGGGCTGTCCTTGACTGCTTTCCCAGGTCACAAGCAGGGTGCTGGAAGGGAAGCAGGACGCCAGCATTAAAACTGGTGCCTATATGGGATCCTGGCATGCTCGAGGAGAGGACTTTAGCCACTAGGCTGCCACGCCAGGCTCCCAGCCCATCATTTGTAAAAGACTAATTTTTATTGGAAAGGCAGATTTTAAAGTAGAAGAGACATATCTCCAAAGATCTTCCATCTGCCGATTTACTCCACAGCACAGCCGGAGCTGAGCTGATCAGAAGCCAGGAGCCTCCTCCAGGTCTCCCACATGGGTGCTGAGTCCCAAGGCTTTGGGCCGTCCTCGACTGCTCTCCCAGGCCACAAGCAGGGACCTGGATGGGAAGTGGAGCAGCTGGGACACAAACTGGTGTCCATATGGGCTTCTGATGCTTGCAGGTAGAGAATTAGCCTATGAGTCATCACACCAGCTCTTCTCCAGCCCATCTTGATAAAGCACAGTGGGCCTGAGCTGACTGTGCTGTTGGCAGGGGCGTCGGTGGGTGAGCTGGCTGTGCTGTTGGCAGGGGCGTCGGTGGGTGAGCTGGCTGTGCTGTTGGCAGGGGCGTCGGTGGGTGAGCTGGCTGTGCTGTTGGCAGGGGCGTCGGTGGGTGAGCTGGCTGTGCTGTTGGCAGGTGAGTCGGTGGGTGAGCTGGCTGTGCTGTTGGCAGGGGCGTCGGTGGGTGAGCTGGCTGTGCTGTTGGCAGGGGCGTCGGTGGGTGAGCTGGCTGTGCTGTTGGCAGGGGCATTGGTGGATGAGCTGGCTGTGCTGTTGGTGACGAAGGTCTCAGCACGTGGCAGGGGACCAAGACGAGGTCTCTTGGCACTACTGAGCAGGGGCAGTGCTGGCTTTGGCCCACAGGTGTGGCCCTGTTTGAGCGTGCTTGCTGCTGGGAAAGGCCTGTCCGGTGTCGACTCGCTCCGATGGACTCGGATCCCTCGGGTTTGAGTTTTGTCGCAGTGTGTGTGTGGCACTGCCATGTTGTCCCACCCTGGGTCTTTGTTGCTGGACACCTGCAGCAGTTACATCTCCAGCATGAAGGGTGGCTTTCCGTGGGCCAGGATGATGCTTTTCCAGTGTACTCCTCGTGGGGTGAGGCTGCTACTCCCGCATCTGTGGGGCTCCTGCCTGTCCGGCAGACCTTGGTCCAGCCCCCCACACTTAACCTTTGCTCTGTTCTTTCAGCTTTCAAGAAACTTCATTTTTCCTTCTGTGGTGCGTTGGTTCAAGAGTGAGACTGCATAATGTCCCGAGCGGTTGGCAGTTTCCCTGGCTGTGTGTGGTTTCATTGGATCGGGTTCGGAAAAGGCTGTCGGTTGTGACCTGTCATGCCCCTGCAGTGCAGCACTTACCCTGCAGTGCTGAAATCTTGGTGTTCCGGCAAGGGCTGCCCTGTGGGCGTCGGGTCCTGCCCAGCTTAGGGAATGGACTGTGGTGGCTCTAGCTGGCGCGTGTCGGATGCTTCATTGAGTGGAAGGTTCTGGTTGCGATGCTGAGCAAGTCCAACGTATGTCATGGTGGAATCAGACGGGGAGGGGGCGTGGCCGGAGGCAAGGAGGTGAAGAGTCCCTGAACTCATGTTTGAACACCGGGTTTGTTCCCGGTATGTGAATAGTGGGAGCGTGAGACGGACAGAGGCGGGAAACCTCCCTGTGTGCAGGCTCGCCCTCCTTGTCCTGCTGCAGCGGCTTAGCACCCCATTACGTAAATCAAGCAAAAACGAGTAGGAAGATTCTGAAATGCGCATCCTGTCGCAGTGGCTGCATCAGCTTCCATCCCTGAGTGTGCCCTGTCGCCAGCATTTGTTAGCTCGGTGGTGACATGCAAGCCGCCCACGGTGAGGTGGTATCGGTGTGGTATTGACGAGCACGTCCTCGAAGGCCCGTAATAGTGCACATTTTGCTCGAAATTGTTGACCGTTCCACCGAAAAATGGAACAGCCTATTGGGATCCAATGCCATTTCTCAATTGCTTGTTTTTGTTGAATTTGGGGTTCTGTTGCTAGAGTCTGGACCTTGTCAGATTAGCTAGAGAATGTTTTCTCATTCTGTCCTAACTTCACTATTTCACTTACCGTGTGTTGCAAGTTTGAAATGCAGCCCGTTTCTGTTGTCTGCTCTTAAGGAAAGTACTTGGCATGTGTGTGCATTTCCAGTTTAGTCGGCACCATTCAGTGAAGAGCCTCGTCCAGGGCATGTTCCCGACACTATTGTCAAATCCGTTGGATGCACGTGTTCACTTCGTTTCTGGGCTCCTGTCGTGTTCCGTTGGTGCACACGCCAGTTCAAGTATCCCGCTGTTGACACGACCACAGCTTTGCACGGAGCTCTGGAAATGGGTACTGTGAGCCCTCCAGCTCGCACACCGTCCCCTGCCCTATCCTCCCCCGAGATGGCTCTGGCTAGTCTGCGCATTTTATCAGTGCTACGGGAATTTCCGTGTTACTGGTGTGAAGATGGTCGCTAATGTTAGCAAGGATCAATGTTGTAGTTTTCTGTAGGCAATGTAGACACCTTATTGGTAGCTTTTTTTTAAGGTGTATTTATTGGAAAGTCGTATGCACAGGAGAGTTGGGAAGATGTTGTGTCTGCGGCCACTTGGGGAGTAAATCAGCAACGGCTGGGGCAGCCAGACAAAACTGGCACCTGTTTGGGAATCCAGAAATGGAAGGAGAAGGATTAACAAATCAAGACATCGCACTGGGCCTAATGTTCTGTTTTTTTAAAATTTTGAATTTTATGGCACAATTTCATAAGGTCTGGGATTTCTCCTAAACCCTTCACCAAATTCCCTCCCCCCGCTGATTTCCGCATATCACAGCAGTGCAGTCTTTCATGAGCAATCGTGAGTCCACCATTGTTTGCGTCCTGACACTGCTGTGAGGGTTGTTAAAATCTCTGAACGTGGACGCTTCCCACCTCTAGGTCCTTGATTTCTTTCCTTAGTGGTTTATAATTTTTATTATGAACCTTACTTGGGTTAAATTGAATGCTAAATTTTTTTTTGTAGCTGTGTAAGTAGGATTTCTTTTTCAGTAAGATGACTTGGTGCATGCAAGGCCTATGTTCTTCCTAAATTTCTATTTGAAATTTATCGTCCAATTATGTTTAGCCTGGGATTCCCCTCCCCGCGCTTTCCGCTCCCCAACTGACTTTTCCCATAACGTGACACTCCTCAGGAGGCGTTACTATCCCATCAGTCTGTTTCAGTGCGTCCCGGCGTTGCTGCTACAGTGTCGGGCAGGCCAGCATCGCATTGTCTGGATACAGCCAGCACGTTCACTGGGAGTCCATCTTCTGTTTGGAAGCAGAGATGCCTGTTGCGTTGCGTCTTCACTTGCGGTTGTGGACGTCTCCGTGACCCCACCGGACGTTCCAGTTTGCATGATGGTTTCCTTAGGTAGAACATACGGTCTTTGTCTCTTTGGACTGACTTGTTTCATTGAGCAGAATGCTCTCTAATTGGGACCATCTAGTTGCAAATGGTATAATTTCATTCTTTTTGATTGCTGAGGAATATTTAATGGCTGAGTAATTCATGAAGTAGATGTGTCGATTTCTTTGGATGGGCCTCTGGGTTGTTTCCGTGTCTTTATGATTGTAGATTGTGCTGCTATAAATACAGGATTGCAGATCCCCTTTTCACATGTAGTTTTAATTTCATTTGGGTATATTCCTAGGAGCGGGATAGCTGGATCATATGGCAGGTTTATTTGCAATTCTCCAAGCACGCTCCACACTGATTTCCACAGTGTTTGTACTGCCTGCACTCCCAGCAGCCACGCCAGCAGGTGTTGTTGTTAGCGTTTTGAGTGTAGACCGATCTCACTGGAGTTGGGTGGAGTCTCGGTGCGGTTTTTCATCTGAATCTCCCTGATGGCCGGGGAGCCTGAGCGTCTTTTCATATGTCTGTTAGCCATTTGCATCTGTTCTTTTGAAAAACGCCTGTTCACTTTCTGCTCCCATTTCTGTTGCCCATTTTTCTCACAGGATTTTTTTTAACTTTCCCTGGGTTTCTGAAGCTCTTTGTAAATCTTGGATGTCCGTCCCCATCCCTTGTGTAGTGTGCAAACTTTCTCCCATCCTGTTGGTTGCTTCTTGACTTTGCTGTACGCAAGCTTTCAGTGTGTAGTCCTTTTGCTCGTTTTGTCTTTGACTGCCTGTGCTTTTGACGGCTTTTCCAAGAAGTCTTTCCCCATTCCTGTTTCTTGGAGTGTGCTTCCTGTGTTTTCCTTGACTAGTTTGATGGTGTCTGGGTGTAGATTTAGGTCCTTGAGCCATTTAGAGCTGAGTCGTGTATAATGTGACACGTGTGGATGTTCTTAATTCTACAGGCTGTGATCCAGTTGTCCCAACAGCATTTGTTACAGACCAGGCTTTTTGCCTGGATTGTTTTCCGTTTTCTGGTCAAGGATTAGTTGGCTGTACGTGTGTGGGCTCCCTTCTGATGTTTCTATTCATCTCTGTTCCTGTACCAGTACCAGCCTGTTCTGATGACCACTGCTCTGCAGTATGTCTTGAGGTGTGGAGTGGATTCCTCCAGCTCGATTTTTATCAGCATAGCTTTGGCTATTTGTGGTCTTTGTGTTTCCAGATGAACTTTTGCATATTTTCTATTTTTGAGAATGTTGGGTTTTTGTTTGGGATTGCGTTGAATCTGTGTATTACTTTTGGTAACATGGACATTTCAATGTTGATCCTGCCAATCCAGGAACATGGTACATTTCTCCATTTTTCAATATCTATTTCCTTTTTAAATGTTTCATAATTTTCATCAATTCTCCCACATAGTTTACTTCCTAGGTATTGAGGGTTCCTCTCCACTGTTTTGAAGGGGACTGCACCGTCTCTTAGCCGTGAAGTCATCTGTGTACACTAATGTCCTTGCATTGTTTTAATTTTGTATCTGCTACACTGCCAAAGTCCCTGGTGAGTCCCAGTAGCGCCTTGACTGAGTTCTTGGTTCTCCTATAATCTGCAACTAGAGATCATTTTAGTTCCTCGTTTGCAACTTAGATTCCTTTAATTCCTGTTCCTTGCCTCACAGCTCTGGCAAGGACTTCCAATCCTATATTGAACAGTAGTGACGGCAGCCATCCCCGACCTGTTCCAGACTTGAGTGGAAAGGCTTCCGATCTTCCCCATTTAGAATGATGCTGGCACTGGGTGCTTTTGTTTGTCTTTTCGTAAGTTGCTTTGCTTGTGTTGTAGAATGTTCCTTCTATGCCTGTCTTGTTTATCTTGCTTAGGGTTCTCAGCATGAAGTGGTGTTGGATTTTATCAGATGCCTCTTCTGCATCTATTGCGAGGATCATATGTTTTTTATTTTTCATTTTATTGATGCAATGTATCATTGATTTCGTAAATGTTTTACCATCCCTGCATGCCACCGGGTCCAGGGGAATGATCTGCCTGATGTGTTGTTGGATCCTGTTGGCTAGTATTTTGTTGAGGATCTTTGCATCTATGTTCAAGAACTTTGGTCTGTAGGTCTCTTTTTCTGTTGATCCGGCTTTGGTATTAAGGTGGTATTGGCTTCATAGAGTTTGGAAGAATGGCCTTTTTTATTATTTGGAAACACTTGTGAAGGATTGGGGTAAGTTCCTCTTGAAGCATTTGCTAGAATTCAGCAGTG